GTTATTTTACTTAAGGAATAAGACCCGCACACCCTCCTCCCCACAGTCTCAAGCAAAAATACCCCCCAAAAACACCAAAAACCAAAACCAAAACTCGAAACAAAACAAACAACCAACAACAGAAAAACAAGAACAACAACAACAAATTAATAATCAGTAAATCAATCCATATAAAGAACAATTACAGCAACAGCAAAATATTAACAATCAACTCTACGAAAGGGAAACTCCATAACGCAAATGAAGCCCCACCCCCTTATGCCTCTTCGCGAAAACACAGAGAGAGAGAGAGAGAGAGAGAGAGAGAGAGAGAGTGTGTGTGTGTGTGTGTGTGTGTGTGTGAGTGTTTGTGTATGAGTGTGTATGTGTGTGTATATATATATATATATATGCATGTACATTTTTGTATCTAGCTATGTGTGTATATGTGTTATGTGTGCTCATGTGTAGGAATATTATGTGCATTTATGGTCTAATGTGTGTGTGTGTGTGTGTGTGTGTGTGTTTGTGTGTGCGTGCGTGCGTGCGTGCAGGTTTATGTTTGTACGCGTATTTGTGCTTGCTTGCCCTACTCTCTCTTTCTCTCCAACCACCACTGTAATTCTTAGCTCTGTGTGCTTTTCCAATTCGTTTAAAGAATTGTTGTTGCCTGTTACAAAGTATGTCTACATTATCAAAGATAGATCCCCAGGATGACGTATCTGTCACAGTCTTTGATTCTCAGGACTAGAGAGCTCAGTGGACAGGGGGGGGGGGTGTTATACCTAATGTACACTGCTAATTCATCTATTTGAGTCGGGGTTTGTTGGATCTCTTCATGGATGGAGCACAAAAAAAAGCCCTGCCATTTTGGCACAAAAGGACAGATTCGATTAGCGACCCTGGAATACAAACGCGTTTGATTTTTGAAGGCTACAGCTGATTCTAGTTGTTGGATTTGGTCGAACAGTGCCAAAATGGTAGCTGTTGTCCCATTCATAAAGGAAAATATGGTTGGTTCCGACCCAAATCGATAAATCCGATTTGCAATGCGCCCTGGGTATTAGAATAGGATTTGCCTGAGATGGAGAAGGATGTCCTGTTCTTTCCATTTAGTTGTAATCAGAAACTGTTTAACTCATTGAGGACGCGCTTTCTGATCATGCGACAAGAAGGTGTTCTGTTTTCGGCATAGCTGCACTATTCAAACATATTCTTTTTCTACTTTGTTTTCTTTGCCTGAAACTTTAAAAGGCTTGAAACAGTATTCATACTTTACAATATGTAAAAGTATTTTTCTGATTTATGTATAATGGTTCGAAATGTGCCAAAACGTTGCTTTCGCTCTGATGCTAATCGGACGCATGTGTGTTGAATATAATTGCCAGGAAAAATGTGCGAACTTGTATAGGTTTAACTTTGTTGTAAGGTCCGTAGTTCAACACCCCTTGCAGCCCTGTAAGGTCATTTAAGAGGCGGGGCCTCTGAATTTAAGTTCTATATCCGACAAGATCGAGACAAATGGAAAGATTGGTGTTTTAGTTTAGTTTTAGTAGAGGTTTTTACGGCACTCGCAACTGCAGAAGGTCATACGAGCGCCAGAAGATTAGAGGTGTTACAAGAGAGTAACAAACATAAAAAAGAAGGGGAGATAAGGACGATAGAGGTTTGATAGGAAAGAAGAAGCTATTCACACCAGAGCACCCGCCAACCACCCACAAGATTCGTGTAAAGTACTTTTCCCAAGAACACAATGTCGGATCGAGCTGAGCCTGGAACACCAGAACTCGCAATCTCACGATTACGAGTCCTGTAGACAAACCTCTGGATTATCGACGAATAATTGGTCTCGTGTGACGGAGGAAGTAAGCTCTCAGCGTTTTCAATTAGTGGCTACCTTTGCTTGTTAGAAATCATAATTTACCACGGGAGATACAGCAGTGTCCACCCACTGGTACGTCTCTGGTATTCAGCAATGTTTTCTACTTCTTGCTTATGCCTTTACAATTTATTTGATATTATACTTCTGGCCGTAACAATTTGTGGCTGTTGTTGCATTGTTCCCTGTTTACAAAGCAAGAGATACAACATTGTTGTGCCAGCCCGTATTTTAACGTAATGGTTTGTTGGTTTTTTTCAGTACCTACAGTTTGATTTCCCTCACTATAACAACACCTTTGTCACGCCCAGAATGAAGTGTGATGTATAAAATAAATTAAATAGAAAGCCTTTCTGGTTAATCTGGGTTTGTTTTGTTTGTTGTTGTAAGTGTTTTACGGCGCCCGCAAGTGCATAAGGTCATATGAGCGCGCGGGACACACTAAACTTTTCCAGTTGGTAGGAAATTTTGAATTTTGCCCGGGTGGCGGCCGAAGCCTACTCTTATCGATTTTAGACCACCAAGGGATCTTTAACGTGCACAACTTGCACACGGGACCTCCGAGATTTTTCGCCCTTGTCCGAGAAAGCTAGGTGTAGATCTTTCCTACCAGAAGATCAGGGGTGTGGCTGAAAGACAGCAGTAAGAAGAAGCCAATGAGTAGCAGTAGAAAGGCTGCAGAAAGAATCAGGAGCCCAGAGGAGGGGGCAAAGGAGGTGAAGGGGTGGGGGCAGAAAGAGGAGACGAAAGCAGACGACAGAACATTGCTAGAGAGTAGGAAAGGAGGTGAAAGGAGACACATTTAGAGAAGAAAATGTTTTGGTCGCTACCCGGATTCGAACCCGAGACCTTTGAATGAGAGGCGAACACCTTAACCTCTAGGCCACGAGAGCCCCAATCTGGGTTTAGAAAAAACAAACTTAGATGTCCAAAAAAAAAGACTTTGTAGAATATGAAAAATCAAGCTGGCAGAATGGCAAGAGACAGGGTATTTTATTGCAGAAAGTCCCGAGAAGCAAAATCCAAGTACTGAAAAAGCTGAGAAAAGCATTTTGAAGGCAACGAAAAATGATATAATTTCAAACCGACAACATCATTAATTATTATGCTTGAGTGGGTGGTTGGCGGGTGCTCAGGTGTGGTCTGCTCCTTCTTTCCTATCAAACGTCTTTCGTCCTTATCTCGAGCTCCTCCTTCTTTTTTGTGTTTGCTCCTCCCTTGTAACACCTCTTATCTTCGGCACTTATATGACCTTATTGTGTTGCGAGTGCCGTAAAACTCCTACCCCCCCCCCCCCCAAAAAAAAAATTTAAAAAATATACATGATACTCTCTGTAGCTATGTTTGGAATTAACGAAAATATTTTTATCGCTCACAATCGTATCTGAAGAGGTGTACAAAATCTTATTACAATTAATCTGATTTGTGTTTGCTAAACTGGTCAATGAAATCGATAGCTGGAACGTGCTCAGTGTGAGCTAGTCGAGTAATGGTACACGAACAAATGATCGCCCTTAGAGACCCTTTCTGTTCAGGTCGATTCTGTCATTTATTGATTAACAACAGAAAATGAGAGTCGAATGAGTTAATGCATAATAAATGTTACCCCATCTTGACCCATATACACGAAGCTTACGCAAATCTGTTGAATTGCCAGGTTGCATTGGGTTATAGTAACTCAGTGGGTAGTTGGCGGGTGCTCTTGTCACACTGTTGTGTGGTTTACTCCTTCTTTCCTACCAAACGCCTACTGTCCTTATCACTCCTCCTTTTTGTGCTTTTGCTCTCTTGTAACACCTCTATTCTTCGGCACTCACTTGACCTAATTGTGTTGCAAGTGCTGTAAAACGCTTAATAAAACTAAATACACTGGGTTAGGATGTGCGCTGAATCGAATTCTCTTATATCGTTTTCAGGAATATCATCTTCTGTCACAGCTTCTGAAAATGGGCAACAGGAACCTCTAAGAAAGCAGTAAGTATATTAAATGTCTTGACTGACAGAAATATGAAAATGTTAATAGAGATGTTGTAAACAACTAAACGAACTAGAAATGTCTGGCCTCTTGTGCTGATGAGATGTGTGATTTTACTCGTTGTCGAACAAAGGAAATAGATACCTTTGTGAGAGGGGGGAGGAGTGTCATTTTAGTTCCTGTAGAAAACGATACATAAAATGTTTTCTCAACAGATATGACTGATAGACCTTTGTACTCCATATTGTTTCCACAATTTTTAGACAAAGTAAAATCAGATTTGATTGGACAAAATTATACATAAAATCATAACAAGAGAACTTCTCCCGAAGTATGATTAGGCGTTTCTCTCATTTCTTTGTCGATTATAAGTATGATTATTCTTGTCAACGTATTTACTATTATCCTGCCTTCTCTGTCTTGGTCGCCTGTGTATGGAAACGTTACTGATATCTAAGAGACACAACTAGTTTATTGATTACATTTTACTGTGAATTTGATCCTCTTTGGATGTTCCGTAAGTTTGCCTTATTAATGCAATGAGGTCACTGCCCGTTGTCTTTCTAATGGTCGACAAAGCAAACCAACACCGAGCGCTTCGAGTTTCAAATCTGAGTAAGGTTCAGTGTTCTCGTCTTTACTAGAATGCCTTGAGTTGGCAGTTCTAAAGCTTGACATGGTCCAATTGTCCTGATAGTGAAAATAAACATTTAAGTGTCTTATTGGTATGTTAATCTGTTCAATTTTTTTTTTATTTGTAAAAATGACTTCAGTAGTCGAGGTGCTAGCTGGTAAACATTTTACGCTTCCATGTTCCGGAGACTTCATCAGCTGCAGTGCTATTCCGCTTTCATTTACGAGAATAACTCTAACGAATGAACAGAAGCAATTGCTTGGACTAGATACATGTTGAAAAGGTAGAAGAGGGAAAGGGGAGAAATAGTGAGTGGATGGGTGTTGTGAAGAGATAGAGGGTGAAAGAAATGAAGAGACGGGGGGGGGGGGGGAAGAATTATTGAAAGAAAAGATGAGACAGAAATACACAACAGCGAAGTAAATTTGACTCTAAAATAAAATAGAGGCAACAGAAATGTGGTTTCTTAGGAGACTGCTAAGAGTATCGTGGAAGGAAAAGAAATCAAATGAGGTAGTGCTTGATGAAGCCCACGTGGGACGCTCAATGTTAAAAACAATCAGGAAACGACAAATGCAGTTTTTGGGACACCTGAATAGACATAAGTTTCTTGAACATCTAGCTCTCACTGGCAAAATTGAGGGCAAGCGAGGCAGGGGTAGGCCCAGAACAACATACTTAGGGAACCTAAACAAATGGGTAACAGGGAAAAATCAGGGAAACGTAGCTTTTCTGAGAGCATCCGAGCAAAGGAATGAATGGAAAATCATGATCGCCGATGTCTGTCGCAGATCTGGCACTGGATGATGATGGTCAAATTACAGGGAGAGGCAGCGATAAAGAAAGGCAATGATGGTGAACTATTATTCCGAAACATTATTTCCGAAGCGTTTCGCTCCCACCAACACATATGAGATATTTTGGGACGTTGTTTGCTTGACTGCATGTTAAGATCAACCTGAACTTTGTGAGAAAAGATGGTTCTTGGAGACCATGCACATCCTCAACAAAGTATTTACCCGTTGAAGAACGCTGTTCTTTTACCCGCGAGGAGAACGCGTAACATAAATGTGAGGCAGCGTGGTGAAATCAGGCTCTCGTCAAAATAATCAAAGTGAAGAAACTTGCATTTTTCCGCAGGTTTGTGAATTTTTATCAAAATTTTGTTTTTTGGCTCAACACCTTTCATGCCCATTAAAGAGCTCATTTCTGTGTGGATTTTTTTTTAAAACGTTGATTAAAGGCACAAAAATGTAAATTTTTAGTTACGACGGACTCTTAAGCTAAGGAAATAACTCATCTTTGGCGGCCATTTTCTCAATAATTTTACCTCTAAAAACAGGTGACCCCCACCTCCTTCATTCACAAATATCTCGATTTGTATTCAAGATTAATGGATATTTTTTTCAACCAAATAAAGACAAGTGAACAAGCTTTAAGATGATACCAGTAACTCTACATGCTCAAAAATTGACGAGAGCCTGATTCCACCACGCTGCCTCACAAATTACACTTCTGGCGCTGGCCTGTTGTACTAGTTTTCTTTTGACTACTACTAATAATATATCTCCGTTGGAACGGGCCGCAACAATAGGATGTAGAACGTAGGTTAACGACAATAATGGCGCCAACGAAAAATGCTTGTTTTGCCAGAACAAAAACAGAGGTTAGAAAGGGCTTTTTCCCGCCTTGGAGCACAGTCGTGGTTCCGTCTTCACTTAAGCCAGATGAGTAGAAACTAGGACTACTCCTTTAGTATATTATGTCTTGGATTAGAGCCTCTCGAAAATGTTAATGGACTGTTGTACTGTTCAGAATCGTAGACATTGAATCGATGCTCGGCTAATTTGACAATGACAATGACAGTCATTACTCAACTCACAGGAAGAAAGTTGGGCGTTTGCAATGGCAGTGGAATCGCAGGATTCACAAAAACTAGGTCACCATTTTCGTCGGACCTTACCGTTACAGCTTGTTTAACAACATCATTTGATCTCTCAAGATCGACCGGATTCGTTTTTCTGAGGCACGGCCGATTTTGGTTCTTTAAGAGGAGGAGCGACCCTTGATTTTGCAGATTTTGGGTCAGGCTATGCACATTTTATATTGGCTGATTTTTTAAGATAAACCTGTTTTTTGTCTAAAAAATAGCATGGATACAATTGAGAAAGACTTTATTCTCCAGGTAAATTGCCTTTAAAAACATGAGGATGGATTAATATAGTGAATTCACAATTATTGTCGGTTTTCAAAAAATGTAATTTTTGTGCAGTTTTTTCCCTACTCCTTCCTTAGTTTTCATCCTTTTGACATGAAACTTTCAGGAAACATTGTTGGCACGGCTGCCATCAATGTAACAGAAAGATATTTGCAAAAAAATAATACTTTTCCATTGGCAAGCAATTACGCAACCTAAATTTTTTAAAAGTTTTTTGTACTTTGTGAAAATTCTCATATTTATTTTTCTTTTGCACTTATTGAAAAAAACTAGCTGTTAACACTGATAGGGTCTGGTTCAGGTATACTCTCCCCACATTTGGTCAAATTTAGTCTGTAAATAAGAAAGCCTTAGGGATTTGAAATCCATTGTTTATTTTCAAGACGGCGGCCGTCTCCATAGCAACCGCTTTAGCTATGTCAAAATGAAATTGCGTATCAAGAGATTTTACTATGTCTAACTTATATGTGTACTTAGATTTGATCTCGGGCAACAAACATAGAAAATGGTCCTCAAGGGTATTCTTTTGTAAGTAAAAGTATAGTACGTGCTTGTGCACTTCAG